ACTACTACTACTAGGACTACTACTACTACTACTACTACTACTACTACTACTACTACTACTACTACTACTACTACTACTACTACTACTACTACGACTACTACTACGATTACGACGACGACGACGACGACGACGACGAGGACGACGACGGCGACGACTGCTGCTACTACTACTACTACTACTACTACTACTACTACTACTACTACTACTACTTCTACTACTACTACCACCACTACCACTACCACAACCACAACCACTACCACTACCACTACCTTTACCACTACCCCCACATATTCTACCACTGCCACTACTACTACTTTCTTCGCTCGCCAATTCGTCGAGCGCCGAGGGCCCCCTGGGGTTGCCCAGGGTCACCTGGAACATCCCAGAGCTTCCCGGGGCCTCCCCAGGGCCTCGTGGATCCTCCTGGGGCCTCCTGAGGCTTCCTGGGGCTTCCTGGGATTTCCCGGGGTTTCCTGACACTTCCTAGGGCTTCCTGAAGCCTCATGGGACCTCCTCGGGCCTCCTTGGGTTCGCTGGGGCGTCCTGCAACCTCCTTGGGCCTCCTGAGGCCTCCTGGGGCCTCCTCAGGCTTCCTGGGGCCTCCTGGGGCATCCTCGGCTCGTGCTAAAAGGCCAGCGCAGCCTTTGAGACGCGCCAGGGATTTCCCTTCGGTAACCGCCATCGCGGCTGCATCAGCTGTGCCAAACCACCTTGCCGATCTGATTTCGGCCCCCAGTTGCGTCAGCACTGTTTTTTTATGGTGTGGGAGGGGGTGGGAATTGGCATGCCATGCTTGGCTCGCTCGAGCTGGCTTACTTGACTCCAACTCCCACTCCTGCTCCTACTCCTTGTCTTGCCTCCTCTGAGTTGCTGTTTCTATGTTTCCTCCTCCTCCTCCTCCTCATCCTCCGCCTCCCTGGGAGGCTGAGTTTGTTTGTTTATTTGGCCTGTGCAGGTCGGGTGTTTCACATGTTTCTTTGTTGTCCTGTTCATTTGCCCCCCCGTTCCCGCGGCGCATGCCCCCCCGCCCCAAGACGAGACCACGGAACAAAAACAGGAACATAAACAACAGCAACAACAACAACATTAAGAACAACAACAACAACAATTGAAAAGCGTGTCATGCACAGGAACAAATAAGGGAATTCTCAGCACCCCAGAGCGGGGAGAGGAAACAACTACAACATGAAAATTGCACCCTGTCCTCCAGATTACAAGAAACTCCTTGTCGTGGCGGTTCCCCGAAGGGATTCTCATTGCGGCGGATCGTAAAAAGCTTTCTGTTGTGGCGGCTTGCAAAAGGATTCCTTTCATAGGGGGAGTTGTAAAATGATTCGTTTTGCGGCGGTTTGCCGCAGGATTATGTTTGTTGGTGGATTTCATATTTTTTCTGGTGGCGGCTTGCAACCGGATTCCCTTTGCAGGGGATTGCACAGAAGGTTTGCTTTGGTGGCGGCTCGCATAAATGATTCCTTTTGTGTGACGGGTTGCAGAAAGATTACTTATGTAGCAGCTTACAGAACACTTCTTCTGTGGCGGGCTACCATCAATTTCTTTGTGCGGTGGAGTGCGACTTGCTTCCTTTGGTGCCAGAGCACAACGAATGACTGAGGAGGCCGTTCGCCGTCTGCCGTGTGCCGTCTTCCTCAGGCCTCGTATTTACGGAGAACAACGGACGGCGGACGGACTCGTCACTCCTCCTCCTCCTGCTCCTCCTCCCCCTCCTCCTTCAGCCTCACTCCTCACTCCTCATTTCTCACTCCTCCTCACCATCATCCTTATCCTATCCCCACTCTTCCTCGTCCTCGCTTCTCACTCCTCTCGGCTCTTGCTCCTCATCTTCCTCCTCATTATTCTCCTCGTCGTCATCATCACCATCAGCATCATCATCATCATCATCATCATCATCATCTTCGTAGCATCCTCCTCCCCATCATTATCAGCATCGTCGTCGTCTCCGTGATCGTATTCATCGTCATCATCATCGCGATCATCATCGGCATCATCATCACCAGCAGCAGCATCATCATCATCATAATCGTCATCAACATCATCATCATCATCATCATCATCATCATCATCATCATCATCATCATCATCATCATCACCGTCATCATCATCATCATCATCAGGCTTATCATCATCATTATCATCGCCATCGGTATCATCATCATCATCAACATCAGCATCATCATCATTACCGCCATCGTCATCGACATTCACATTCTCATCATCATTCCTACTCCCCACCCTCCATCTCCGCCTCCTCATCGCCTTCCCTCCTCCCTCACCCTCCCCGTCTAAGGAGGAGGAGGATTGAGACGTGAACAGAAGGAGGATGAGGAGGAACTGGAGGGGGGGGGGATGGAGGATTAAGGCGACGTGAAAGGCGGGGGGCGGGGGCAAAGGGGGCGGAATGAGAAGAGGGGGGACGGAGGAGCAGATTGGTGAAGAGGAGGAGGAGGAGAAGGAGGAGGAGGAGAAGGAGGAGGAGAAGGATGAAGAGGAGGAGGGCGATCCTCCGCATCATCATCATCACCATCAGCAGCAGCATCATCAGCAATATCATCGTTATCATCATCAACAGCATCAGCAGCATCAGAATCTTCACCAGCATCAGCATCCGCATCATCAGCATCGTCACCATTAGCAGCATCATCATCATCACCATCAACTCCATCAACAACAGCCGCATCATCACCAGCATCTCCGTCCCCCCCATTGTTATTATCGCGCTGCTCCTCATGATGTTCTCCGCCGACCCCTACTCCCGCTCCTCCTACTGAGGCTGCTGCTGCTGCTCATCCTCACCCTCATCCTCCTCCTCCAAATCCTCCTCCTCCAAATACTCAGCATCATCATCAGCATCATCATCAGCATTCTCAGCATCAGCATCATCATCATCAGCACCATCATCAGCAGCATCGTCATCGTAGACATAGTCACCATCATCAGCAGCAGCAGCAGCATTCCCATCAACAACAACAGCACCATCAGCATCATCATCATCATCATCATCATCATCATCATCATCATCATCATCATCATCATCATCATCATCATCATCAGCCGCATCATCATCATCAGTATCATCCTTCTCCGCGCGCCCCCTTTTCCCCTGCCCCCCTCATCATTAGCACTCCTCAGCATCATCGTCCTGCTCCCCATTCTCTTCCTCCTCTGCCTCCTCGCCCCTCCTGTTTCTCGTCGTCTCGCTCTTCCTCCGGGGAGGGGGAATGAAACGCGAACAGCAGGAGGAGTCCGAGCAAAGGAGGAAGAGGAGGAGGAGTGAGGAGGAGGAGGAGGAGGAGGAGGAGCAGAGGGAGGAGAAGGAGGAGAGAGGATGAGGATGGCGAGGAGGAGAAAGAGGGAGGAAGGCGGGCGAGAAGGGGGAGGTGGAGGATGTCGATATGGGAATTAGTTCAGGGGGAGGAGAAGGGGGATGAGGAGGAGGAGGAGGAGAAGAAGGGGGCGTAGGAGGAGGGAAAGGGAGGGACGATGAGTGAGGAGAAAGAAGAACAATCATGAATGGGGAGGCTGATGCGGGAGGAGGGTGCTGAGGATGGATAGGAGGAGGAGGAGGAAACATGATGAGAACGAAGAATGAGGAGTGGCAGCGAAGGTAAATCATGACGATGCTGATTATGCTGCTGCTGATGATGATGATCGTAATGGTGATGGTGATGATGATGCTGCAGATGAGGATGATGATGACGATGGCGATGATGCTGCTGCTGATGATGATGATGATGCTAATGATGATGTTTATGATGATTATGATGATTATGATGATGCGGATAGTGATGGTGATGGTGATGATGATGATGATGATGATGATGATGAGGAGGAGGAGGATGAGGATGATGGTCATGGTGATGGAGCGGGGGAGGATGAGGAGGAGGAAGAGGAGGAGGAGGAGGAGGAGGAAGAGGAGGAGGAGGAGGAGGAGGAGGAGGAGGGTGCGGAGGAGAAGGAGAACATGGATGAGGAGGAAGAGTCTGATGAGGACCAATTACCAGGAGGATGGCGAGGAGGGGGATTGGGCGGAAGACGAGAGAGAGAGAGAGAGCAAGATGAATGACTAGAAGGATGATGCGCAGAAAGAAAATAATCGTGATACATCGGGGTACAGTCGGACCGAGGTATGAGATCGAGGTCTGTTCGGGGAGGACGCCCTAAGTTTCTTCGTGTTTGTTGGGTGTTCTTGTGAATTCTTGGGGAGGGCACCCTCGAGTGACCTTCTGGTTTGGGGTGTTTTGGCCGGCGGAGGGTATCATGTTATTGAAGTATGTTCTTCTTGCCCAGGTCCGATTGTACTAGGGGGATAGAGATGACTACGATTCAAGACGACATGTATGATCTTGGACGGGAGGTCAACCATCTATTTGTGTGTGTGTGATTCAACACCTGTCGCCCAGAGGGCCGGCCAGAAATGTGTACACTACGCATTGTCCTGTGGCATTTCTGGGAGCCCCATGGGACAGGGCCCAGATACCCTAGCGCAATAACGCGCGGTTTCCATAGGGGGCCCAAAGGGGCACGAAAGGTGCAAGATTCTTCGCCCCCCCGTTCACCCAGACCCCCGACGTCATGATTTTTGCAAGACGTCGACCCCCAGGGATCTGGACCCATTCCCCTGGACCGGCTTCTCATCCCGAGCCGTTTTTGGACGGTCCCGAGGGCGGGGGAGGGCCCCCAGATGCCGAAAGGAGCGAAACATTGATCGTCGTGATTGTTCTCGTTTGCCCCGAGGGGGTCTGGGTTTGTCCCTCTCCCCACGACGCAGCGCCCGAGGAGCGGCCCGAGCCCGAGCTGATGCTGCAGCAGCTGGAGAGGCTCGAGGCATGGACGGGCGCCCTGGCGGCCGAGAGTGCGGAGGCCCTCGGAGAAGAAGAAGAAGAAGAAGAAGAAGAAGAAGAAGAAGTGACTTGGAGTTGGCTGGGGAGTCCAGGAGGAGGAGGAGAAGGAGGAGGAGGAGGGGGAGGAGGAGGAGGGTCCAGGGAGTTCAGGAGGGGGAGGGGGAGGAGTCCGGGAATGTGAGGAGAAGGAGAGGGAGAGGAGGAGGAGGAGGAGGAGGAGGGAGGCGGAGGAGTCCAGGAGTCCAGGATGAAGATGATGAGGAAGAGTAGGAAGGAGGAAGAGGAGGAGGACGGAGATTTGGGAGGAGGAGGAGGAGGAATTTTGAAAAGGAGGAGGGGAGGAGGAGAGGAGGAGGTAGGGTGAGGAGGAGGCGGAGGGAGGAGAGAGGCCAGGAGTAGGAGGATGAGGAGGAGGAGGAGGAGGTGGCCCAGCGCACTCGTTCCGGCCAGCAGGAATGGGGGGGGGGGGGGGCAGGTTTGAGGTTTTGGGTTCGAGCTGGTTTTTGGCCTTCTTCGGTTCCCAGTTTCGGGCCCCGGGGACGTCAGAAACGGATCTGGGGTGAAAAACTACACCATCGGCCAGTTCAGGCCCCCCAGCGGCCTCCAAGAATCGGGCTCTCTTCCAATCCGGGCGCAGCGATTGTACACAACGTGCGATTTCGCTTCCTGTCGGGCCCTGGAGCCCTGACAGATCGATCCGGCTCGAAACGTGCCGCAGAACAATTGGGTCTGGGGCTCCAGTCGTGATTCAGCGCGCTGCTGCAACCTGTTCGCAGAGTCGGATCTCAGGGGGCCTCGAGGGAGCGCCCGCCCGGGGAGGTCGACTGAGGAAATCTGCAACGGTTCGCGCGCCATCGGCATTTGCGCTTTTCTGGGCGCGTTCGGTTGCTTTCGGTCGACGAGTTGTTACAATCGGGGCCCTGAAGGAGGAACCCTTTTGATTGGGGAGGGGCTCCGTGTTCCTCAATTGTTTCACAGCTTGCCTCAGGTTTTCCTCATGTTTTCGATGGGAGATCGAAGTTCAACTTATGGGAAAAAGGGGCCTCGTTCCTTTTTTAGGGTTTCCTAGGTCAACGCCCCGACTGCACTCGACGTGTGCTTTCGGTCGACGAGCTGTCATCCCTCCCGGGCCCACTGGGAATGTGGTGCCTTGCGCACGTGGAGTGCCCCTGAAAGCTTTCGCCAAATACAGTCGGGTCGCTGAAGAAGGAACCCTTCTCGTCGGGAAGGGGCTCCGCGTTCCTTAATTGTTTCGCAGCTTGCCTCAGGTTTTCCTTATGTTCTCGATGGGAAATCGAAGTTCAACTTGTGGAAAATAGAGGCCTCGTTCCTTATTTAGGGTTCCTTAGGTCAATTTCCTCGATCTCCTCCTCCTCCTCCTCCTCCTCCTCCTCCTCCTCCTCCTCCTCCCTCCTCCTCCCTCCTCCTCCCTCCTCCTCCCTCCGACACAAGGATCGGCGGCGAGCCTGGGGGGGGGGGGGGGAAATGACGAGGGGCGGGCCTTCTCAGCAGAAGGCTCGGAGGGCCCCCGGCCTTCCGAGCCGTTCTCTGAGCCTCGCCCGAAGAGATAAAGAACACAAACACAGTTTCCCAGGAGGCCCGAGGGCTCCTGGGAAGCACCGCCGCCTTCCGAGAGGGCCTTCTCCCTCTCGCTCCCCCCCCTCGCTCGCCGCCGGCAGATGCCAAACACAAGCCCGGAAGACATCGATCCTCGATTCTCGAACCTCGACCCTCGAAACTCAATCCTCGATCCTCGATCCTCGATCCTCGAACCTCGATCCTCGACCCTCGATCCTCGAACCTCGATCCTCGACCATCGACCCTCGACCCTCGAACCTCGATCCTCAACCCTCGACCCTCGAACCTCGATCCTCGATCCTCGAACCTCGATCCTCGATCCTCGATCCTCGACCCTCGACCCTCGAACCTCGATCTTCGATCCTCGACCCTCGACCCTCGAACCTCGAACCCCGAACCTCGATCCTTGATCCTCGAACCTCGAACTTCTCACTCCCCCCCCGGCGCGCCGCCGTGAGGCGGCGCGCGGCGCCGAGGCGGGCTCTCTTGCAGAGGCCCGCCGCGAAGTTCCCTCGGCCGGGTTTCGGGGCGCCCCCCTCCCTTGCGCCGACCCAAAGAAGATCCGCGCGGGGGCCTCCCCTCCTCTTCCTCTTCCTCCTCCTCCTCCTCCTCCTCCTCCTCCTCCTCCTCCTCCCCCTCCTCCTCCCCCTCCTCCTCCTCCTCATCCTCCTCCCCCCTCCTCTTCTTCCTCCTCCTTCTCCCTCTCCTCCTTCTCCTTCTCCTCCTCCTCCTCGTCCTCGATCTCGTCCTCCTCCCCCTCCTCATCATCTTCATCATCATTATCATCAGCAGCATAATCATCATCCCTCTCCCTCCTCCTCCCCCTCCTCCTCCTCCTCCCCCTCCTCCTCCTCCGCCTCCTCCTCCTCCTCTCCTCCTCCTCATCCTCCTCCTCATCCTCCTCCTCCTTCTTCCTCCTCCTCCTCCTCCTCTTCCTTCCTCCTCCTCCACTTCCTCCTCCTCCTTCCCTCCTCCTTCTCTCCTCCTTCTCCTCCTCATCCTCATCCTCATCCTCCCCCTCCTCCTTCTCCCCCCCTCCTCCTCCCCCTCCTCCTCCCCCTCCTCCCCCTCCTCCTCCTCCTCTTCCTCGTGTTCCTCCTCATCATCCTCCCTCTCCCTCCTCCTCCTCCACCTCCTCCTCCTCCTCCTCCTGCTTTTCCTGCTCCTCCTCCTCCTCATCCTCCTCCTCTTCCTCCTCCGTAGAACGGGCCCATCGCCCCGTGGGGGGGAGGACCCAGTCTTCTTTGTGACTCTTCGATAGGCGCACGGGCCCTGGCTCACACGCTGCCTATACGACCACCTCTACCCGGCCGTGCTCTCGGGCAGAGAGGACGGGGCGTCGCGTATAATGGACAGCGAGGGTTGCCGAGAAGGGGCCCTTCATAGGGCCCCTACTAGACCCAGACATCCTCCGCTATGATCTTTGTCAGTCAGCGGCCCCAGAGGTCCCGCCCCCTTCCCCAGGGGTGGTTCTTCGTCCGGGATGCGTTTTTTGATGGCCCCCTGACCCGATAACGGGCAGGAGGCCGAAATCTGCCGGATTGAAAAAACGATGTCGTCGGATCTCTGGGGGTGGGCCCTTTCGGGCCCGAAAGGGGCCCTCTGGGTCCCGAGAAGAGCACCTGTCTCCTACCCCATTCATCGCCCCCCATTAGGCGACGCCCGAGAGGACCACTCGGCTCTCAGGCTGTGGGTCCCGGGCGCCTGCGCGTTTGTGCCCCCGGAGCGGATCGCGAAGCAGCCCATCGAGTTCCCGCCCTACCTGGTCCGGGCACCGGCAGAGTGGGAGAAGAAAGTGCCAAAGCTCTGGGCCACCATCAAGGACACCTTCGCGGTGCAGGACTGCACGCAGGCCCTGACGCTCATCCAGGACTCCTTGGAGAAGGCCTCCCTGGCGCAGCTCAGCGCAGAGAGCCTGGAGCTCGCGGTCCGGCTCGTCATGGCGATCACCGACATGCTGCAGCAGGAGCGCAGCGCGGGCGTGGCGAACCCCAGGGGCCAGGTGCGGATCCTCATGCCGACGAGCGAGCGGGCGCTGCGACCCGTGGAGGAGTGCGTGTTCAACAACATGACCTGGCTGCCGGACGTGGAGACGGCGGACCTCAGCCTGGGCAGCTACCGGCTGGTGCTCAGGGCCCCGAATCATCAGGGGCAACTCGGGCGAAGAGAATTATGCACACGCACCGATCCTGGCAAGGCCCATCTTTGACCCAGGATCGGTGCATATGCCTTCCTGGCCAAGGTAGGAGGGCGTATGCACCGATCCTGGGCTCAGGATGGGCCTGGCCAGAATCGGTGCATGTGCATAGTTCTTTTTCCTCTAGTAACTCGGGTCAGGGTTAACTCGGGTTCGTGTTTCGGGGATCCAAGCCCGAGTTGCCCCGGACCCGAGTTACCCCGGAGAACTCGGGCGCCCAAGGTGCACCCGAAGATCTCCCACACGGTGGCGCACACGTGCGGCTGCCGAGGACTGTCGCTCGTCTACGCGGCCGAGGCCACCGACACCGCCGGCGCCGCCTGGTACGAGGCCGCGGGCCAGAGCGAGCCGATGACGACCAGGCTGAAGAACCTGCTGAAGGACTACCCGTCCGACATCAGCATGTTCAAGGAGATGGTGCAGAACGCCGACGACGCGGGGGCCACCAAAGTGCACTTTGTGTGGGACTGGAGGCATCGAAGAGGAGAAAGCGGCCTAAACCTAACAGTCGGGCTCCTGAAGAAGGAACCCTGTTCGTCTGGGAGGGGCCCAGTGCCCCTTCATTGTTGTACAGTTCGTCTCAGGTTGTCCTGAGGCTTCCTCTGGGAAATCGAAGCTGACCATGATGGGCAAGAAGGGCCTCGCTCCTTATTGCTGAGGCCTTACGGCCAGTGCCGCCGACCCTGGCGAGGCCTCGGCCCTCGACGGAAATGGGAGGGAGAGGGCGGCCCTGGGCCCCGAGAGGGTGGTATTGTGACCGGGGACCCCCCCTGGGACCCCCTTCCGGGCCCCCCCCCCCTTCGAGTAAACACCGACGTTGCTCAGATTGGCGTCCCCTCCGCGTCGCGGCCGCTCCCGTCCCCCGAAGGGAGCCGCCCGGCCTCGTTCCTTATGTTTGGGCTCCGTTAGGGCAGCGGTCCGACTGCAAACTTCCGAGAAGGCTGGTTAGAAGCTGTCAGCCACGCGCCTTCTAAGAAGCAAAGGTGCTTCTAAGAAGCCCTCCCCCCTTCCCCCACCCCCTTGTGCCCACCGCCAAAGCTGGGCGGCCTCCTCACAAGCGCCCACGCTTTCTCGGACGCCCCGCCGCCGTCCTGTGGAAGGCCGCCCCCCTGACGCCACCCCCTTGTGTGGGCGCCGCCGACAGGCAGCACCGCAGCCAGTCCCTCCTGACCCCGGACATGGACCGCTGGCAGGGCCCGGCGCTGTGGATCTTCAACGACGCCTGCTTCTCGGAGCGCGACTTCGAGAGCATCTGCCGCCTCGGCGTGGGCGGCAAGCGCGAGGCCGCGCGGAAGATCGGGCGCTTCGGCCTCGGGTTCAACTCCGTGTACAACTTCACGGACCTGCCCAGCATCCTGAGCGACGACGTGGTCCTCTTCTTGGACCGCCGGGTGGCGCAAGCGGGAGGAGGGGGGAGCTGAGGCCAGGAGGGAGCAGGCAGAATGCGACGAGGAGGAGGAAGAGTAGGAAGAGAGGAACAGGAGGACTACGAGGAGGAGGAGGAGGAGGAGGAGGAGGAGGAGGAAGAAGCATCAGGATCCACATGTTCACCACCTGTCGGCGATGGGAGCATCGGTTCAGAAGCCTGGCATCAAGCTGCGTTTCCTCAAGATCAACGTGCTGGACAAGTTCCGCGATCAGTTCGAGCCCTACCACGGCTTGTTGGGCTGCAATTTGTCGAAGGGAGAGAAGTTCAACGGCACTCTCGTGAGGGTGCCGTTCAGGACCGCCGAGACGGCCAAGAGCAGCCAGGTCAGCAACATCGCTCTTGACCGCCAGGTCGCCGATTAATGTTCGACATCTCAGTTTCCCACAAGGCGTGCCCATAGTGCCATATTGGGTATCTGACTCCAGTGAGGCGTGGTCGCGATCCCAAATCTGCAGCCCACTCACTGTCGTTTGATGTCGTCTCTGGTCGTGGCTCGTGGACTCTGCTCGTAGCTCGTGGTTTCTGCCGTGGTCTCTTGTGCAGCATGTGGTAGTCAAGTATCGAAGACGCCTAAGGCGAACCATCGCCTTCTGCCTTTTGGCATTGCCTATTGCCTATGCTGCCAAACGTTAGTCCGAAGGCTTGCCAGGCTGATGGACCACGTGTTCCCCCGGCCGTTGTGGAGACCCTTGGGGGAACACATGTGGGAGGAAGAGGGAGGAGGAAGAGATGGAGGGTAAGGACACAGAGAAACGTGAGGAACGCCACTCCCTGGATGCCTCTTGGGGGCCTCTGGGAGGACCTCTTGGATGCGTCTTGGGGGCCTCGTGGGGGCCTCTGGTGGCCTCTCGGGGTCTCTTGGCCTTCGGAGACCATCTTAGGGGTCCCTCTGGGTTGTATTTGGGCCGTCTTTGGGACCTCGTGGGCTGCCTTGGGGCCCTCTTGGCCCGTCTTGGGGCCATCTTGGGGGCTTTCGGGCCGCATTGGAGCTATCTGTAAGGTTTCGGGGGCCTTCGTCGGGTGTCCGAAGCCCGAAAAGGCAAGACCGCGAAAGCCATTCACACACGTTTCCCCAACCATCCTGTGGTGCTGGGTTCTCTTTTTGAGAGACAGCACCAGGCTCCTCTCACATCCCGCATGCCCCTGTTTCGTCACACCCCTCATGCGCTTCGTGGCCCCATAGGGAGCTCCACCAACGGCCACAGTGGCAGTGGCCACATGCGTCACACCCGCCCATTTCGGCACACCCCTCACGCGCTTCGTAGCCCCAGAAGGGGGCTCCACCATAGGCCCCACTGGCAGTGGCTACATGCTTCCCCCCACTCATGTCAGCATACCCCTCACATCTTTCGTGGCCCCATAGGGACCACCACCGACAGCCCCAGCGGCACTGATCACATGCGTACCCCCGCAGTTGTCGGCACACCCCTCACACGCTTCGTGGACATATAGCGGGCTCCACCGACGGCCTCGGTGGCAGTTGCCCTATGCGCCCCCTCACCCATTTCGGTACACCCCTCACGCGATTCGTGGCCCCACATGGAGCTTCACCGAAGGCCCTGGTGGCAGTGATCACATGCGCCCCCCCTCGCCAATTCCAGGACACCCCTCATACGCTTCGTGGCCCCATTGGGGGTCCACCGAAGGTCCCAGCGGCAATGGCCACATGCGCTCCCACCTTCATTTCGGCATACCACTCACACGTTTCGTAGTCCCATAGGAGGCTCCGCCGAAAGCATGAGTGACAGTGGCCACATGTGTCCTCCTACCCATTCCGGTACACACTTCACACGTTTCGTGGCCTCATATGGGGCCCCCACCGGAGACCCCAGTGGCAGTAGCCATATGCGAACCCCCACCCAGTTCGGCACACCCCTGACGCGTTTCGTTGCCATAGGGGGCACCACCGAAGGCCCAGTGGCAGTGGCCACATGCGCCCCCCCGCCCATTTCGGTACACCCTTCACGCGCTTCGTGGCCGCGTAGGGAGTTCCACCGAAGGCACCAGTGGCAGTGGCCACATGCGTCCCTCCCCCACCCATTGCGGCCCAACCCTCACACGCGTCGTGGCCACATAGGGAGGCCCCCACCGAAGGCCCGTAGCAGTGGCCACATGCGTCCCCCCGGTCAGTTCGGCACACTCTCACACGTTTCGTGGCCTCATACGGAGCTCCGCGGAAGGCCCGTGTGGCAGTGGCCACATGCGTCCCCCCATTCGTTTCGGGGCACCCCTGGCGCGCTTCATGTCCCCATATGGAGCCCCACCGAAGGCATCGGTGGCCATGGTCACACGCGTCCCCCTGCCCAGTTCGGCACACCCTGGCACGTTCTGTGGCCCCACAGAGGGGCCTCCTCTGAAGGCCCCAGTGGCAGTGACCACATGCGCCCCCCCGCCCATCTCGGCACACCCCTCACATGTTTCGCGGCCACATAGGGAGCTCCACCGAAGGCCGCAGTGGCAGTGTCCACAGTCGCCCAACACCCATGTCGGCACACCCCTCACGCGTTTAGTGGCCCCATGGTGACCCCCACCTAAGGCACACGTGGCAGTGGTCACACGCTTGCTCTCCACCCATTTCGGCACAACCCTCACGCGCTTCGTGGCATCATAGGGAGCTCCACCAAAGGCCCTAGTGGCAGGCAGTACTCACACGCCTCCCTCCCGCGCATTTCAGCACACCCCTCACGCACAGAGTTCCATCGAAGATCCCAGTGGCGGTGGCCACATGCTCTCCCCCACCCACTTCGGCACAACCCTCACGTGCTTCGTGGCCGCATGGGGCGCCCCACCGAAGGCTTCAGTGGCAGAGGCCACATGCGTCCCCACACCCATGTCGGCACTCCCCTGACATGCTTCGTGACCTCATATGGGGCTCCGCCGAGGGCCCCGGTGGCAGTGTCCACATGCGTCCCCCCACCCATGTCGGCACGCCCCTCACACGTTCTGTGGCCCCATGGGGAGCCCGCCGAATGCACCAGTGGCAGTACTCACCTGCGCCCCCCCCTCACGTTTCGGCACACCCCTCACGCGTTTCGTATCAACATAGGAAGCTCAACGTAAGGCACCAGTGGCAGTGGCCACATGCGCCCCCATGCATGCCGGCACGCGCCTCACGCGCTCCGTGGCCTCATAGGGAGCTCCACCGAAGGCCCCAGCGGCACTGGCCGCATGCGCCCCCCCCCACCTCATTGGCACACCCATCAGAGCCATAGGGATCTCCGCCGAAGGCACCAGCGGCAGTGGCCACATGAGTCCCCCTACCCATGTCGGCACATATACTCACACACACTTCGTGGCCCCATAGGGAGCTCCACCCAAGGCATGGGGGGCAGTGCTCACACCCGCCTCCCCCGACCACGTAGGCACACCCATCAACCCATGGGGAGCCCCACCGAATGCTCCTGTTGTAGTGCTCACATGCGTCCCCCTCGCCCATGTCTGCACACCGCTCACACGTTCTGTGGCCCCAGAAGGGGCCTCGTCTGATGGCCTCAGTGGCCACATGCACCACCCGCCCATGTCCTCACACCCTTCACGTGTGTCGTGACCCCATATGGGAGCCCCACCGAAGGCTCCAGCGGCAGTGCTCACATGCGCTCCCCCCCCCACACACACTAATTCCTTTCTGCCGCTCACACCTTCCGTGGCCCCGTAGGGAGCTCCGCCGAAGGCCCCAGGGCCAGTGCTCACACGCGTCCTCCCGCCTATACCAGCACACCCCTTCACACGCTTCGTAGCCCCATAGGGTCCGTATGGGGGCCCCGCCGGAGCCCGCTGAAGGCACCAGTGGCAGTGCTCATATGCGTCCCCCCCCGCCCAGTTCGGCACAGCCCTTGCCCGTTCTGCTGCCCCATAGAGACCTACGCCGAAAGCCCCAGTGGCAGTACCCACACGCGTCTCCCCACCCCCCACCCAGTTCGGGGCTCCCTTCACACGCGTTCCGTGGCCCCACAGGGAGCTCCACCGAAGGCCCCGGTGGCAGTGGTCGTTTGCGTAACCCCACCCGTGCTGGCACAACCCTCACATGTTTCGTGGCCCCATAAGGTGCTCCACCGAAGACGATGCTTACATTTACGTTATTTACAATTTCACATGGTTGGGTCCTTCGCCAGGACAAATGTTAGAAACTCAATGGTTCGGGTCTCCCAGAGGTCCTCTTAGGGGCCCTCTTTGGCGCCTTGGGGGCATCTTGGGCCTTCAGTAGGATATTTTCGGCCACTCCCTGGCCCACAGCAGCCAGCCAGAGATGCTCACTCCCTGGCCCCAAACGGCCAGCCAGATGTCCTCATCCCCGCTCCAGAACTGCTAGGCTGAAATCCTGACGCCCAAGCCCCGAACTTCCAGCCAGATCTTTTCAAACTGGTCCCAAATTGCCACGCAGGTATTTAGCGACCGATTGCATATGTTTAGCCGTGTAACACCATCGGGCAGAACTGCAATCGATCGGCCGATCTAGTCAGTCAGATATAATCTCCCATTGCGCAGTTCTGAGTTGTCAGTTATTTGTCGGCTGGGGTCAGCTTACCCCAAGAGAGCAGGCACGGGTCATGCCAGTCAACGCCGAAGTATTTTCATTCAGTCGCCTACAGGTTAAATCCAAGTGTCAGCATCCAGTCGCAAACCATTACCATTCAAAAAACTATCCTCTCCCGCACGCCCCTAGCAACTACCCCAATCTCTCCAGCCGCGTTTGAACATCCGCACACATCCGCCTACAACTGCAACCCCAATGTCCCCACACACCCGCCCAAGACAGTCGCCCAAATATCCTCACCCGCCTGAGGGCCACCCAAATATGCTCACACGCACTCGCACGCACGAATTCGGCCTTGTCAAGTCCAGTCAGCCAGTACTTCTCTTACGGGAGAACAAGACGGCTAAATCCAGGACAGGACCTGTACAGTAGGGTACACGAGGCTTCCGGCATTCGCCGCTTG